TACAAAACCAGTATTGAACCCAGCTCCTTCCCGATGGCAATACGTCATCGTCACCCCTGGTGCTGTGGAGCAGGCCCTGGGGAAAAGTCCCAGGCTGAACTCAGCAGCAGATGGGAACAGGGTAGAGGAGCTGGATTCTGGAACTCAATTCAGGAACACACAGATTGGGATCAAAAGCAGAATGGATGGAGTCCCCCTCGGATGCCAGCCATTGAAGAAGCAGGAAAAAAGAAAAAGGGGCTTGACCCTCGTGATCCTTCAGCTTTATGTTGAATATGACAGATACAGGATGGAATACCTCGGTCAGTTTAGGGTCCCCTGTCCTGTCCACTCCTCCCTGAGGGTGCAGCCTTTACTTTCTGCACCCCTCAGTGTGGTCCACAAGATTTAGCAGTGGCATTGGTCTACACGCCAATCCTTGGTGGTAACTCTAACATGGAGCATTATCCCTGCTAGAAGCAGATGCTGTCTGTGAATATATGCTGTTAACTTCAGACAGTGCAGTTAATTAGAAGAGCTTTAGCTGAAAAGTAAAATCACTGAACGGAATTAATTCTGTTCTGCCCCAACTAGGACATGATCAAAACACTTGTATTCTTTCTGTGTGGTGGTGTCCTCCATTCTTATACTTCCAGTTCAAGGAAGGTTTGTGTTCCACATCCTTAGATTTGTATTTCATCTTGTCATGAATTCACCATACTTGAGGCATGGTCTCACAATCAGAGTAATGGAAATTGCTCTGGTAGGAGCACAAAAAATTGGGCAGCTCCTTAGGGCTTCCATCTGTGAGGCAGACTTTCAAACAGCAAAAGAAGAGATGATACATCTTATTTTAGAGAAATAGTGCCAAATTTGCTACGAGTGTGGTGTCTGTCTACAAATGGATAGATGTCTCAAGTTGCAAAGGAGAGTAAGGGTTGTTATTGAACATGTGTTAGAGCATCGTAGGTGCCATTGTACCTTCTTTTGTGCCATTGTCTTTCTTTTCTAATTCAGCAAATATGCCATTCCTCAGAGCTTTTACTGGGATCTTGTTCCCCGAAGAGTCCTGTAATGCTATTTTTGGAGCTGACACTTGAGGGTTGATAAATAGCAGGGCTCTGTCTTTTAGCAGGCAAGTGTGTTGCCTCTCCAGAAGACCAGGACTTTGTCTGCCTGTAGCAAGAAGGGTAAAAGCTGACAGGTAGCCTTCTGCATGGGCTGCAGTGCTGTGGCACAGACAATACATTAGGGCATGACCCTACTCTTCTGGCCTGGGCTGTGGTCAGTACACTCTAAATTAGTTTTGATTTTTTTCCTGGAACCCTCAGGCATCATGCACTTTGCAGGATTGTTTCTGCATATTTGTCAAGGCGTCTTGGACAGAAGGAATTTGAAGCCATCTGGGTGCCTGGGTTTTATCACTGAAAAGGTTTCCTTATTTCTCCTAGTTTCATCACTACAAACTGTGCCCTGCAGTTTTCATCCCGTGGGATCCGCCCAGGCCTCACCACAGTCCTGGCCCGCAACCTGGACAAGAACACGATGGGGTACTTGCAGTGGCGCTGGGGCATCCAGTCAGCCATGAACACAAGCATTGTCCGGGATACCAAAACCAGCCACTTCACCCTGGCGCTGCAGGTGAGGGCCCTGTGTGCAGGGGATGGTGATGCCACCCCGGGGAGAAAAGTGCCTGAGCTGTTCATCCCAGCAGTGCTGTGGCTTGCGACGAGAGGGTAACAGAGCAGCTGGAACTGTCTCCTAGGAACATGTAGTGTAGATAACCAGCTGCATTCTGCAGAGCACAACACTGTGCACCCAGCGTTGTCATGTCTTACGTGGATGAGCTCAGATCAGGGTCAGGATGCACAACAGACTGCAGAGATTGCTGGCTGTGATGAGGGAGTGGCAAGTATGGCAGTATTTTCTGTGCCACTCAAAGGATAAGAAAGGAAATTTCAAGGAACATTCAGTGATGGCCAAAGCTGCATTTTCATACATTTGTGCTTCTTTTATTTCAGCTGGGAATTCCTCATTCTTTCATGATGGTCAGTTATCAGCATAAGTTTCAGGATGAGGATCAAACACGAGTGAAAGGTTCTCTCAAGTAAGTGTGCAAGAGGAAATTCAAATTGCTCATGGCCTGAAGAATCTGTCCTCTCCTGCTGCTGCAGGCATCTGGGTTCCACACAGATCAAATGCTTCTGTGGCTTTTGGGAATCTGCTTTTCATTAATTAAATCTGGTAAATGCTGAAGTGAATGTCTTGGAGGCATAGCTTTGTGTGCCTCTTCGGTTAAGGGGGACTTAAGATACTTCTATGTGGTATCTATATCATCACCAATAAGCCAGAAGTTACGGTATTCTGTTTGCTACTTTCCAATCTGGAAAGGCTAACCTCATCTTGTAGGTATGCAGTGAACCATCCAATAGTCAATATCTGCTGCACACTGTTGTATTTCCATGTTTTACTTGTTGGGGAATTACAGGATTTGGTAAAGGGAAGTTCAAGAGTCTTCTGTGTCTTACCAGTTTTTGGTTCTGTTTTTCCAGGGCAGGTTTCTTTGGGACCATAGTGGAGTATGGAGCAGAGAGGAAGATCTCCAGACACAGCGTTTTAGGAGCCACCGTCAGTGTTGGTGTCCCCCAAGGAGTGTCTTTGAAAATCAAGTCAGTTCAAGATTGCAGCTCTAGGTTGCAGAGGCTGACCATAACCTGCATTATTCTGTTTCCAGTAGTCAGGTGGGAAGGTCCCATTCTTAGGGTGGCAGAGGTGTATCGGTATGTCACTATGAAAGGCTGCAGCTGCCCTGTGGTGCAGGTGCCCATGGGCACCCCTCTGATACAAGCGGTGCCCATGGAGGCAGTGTGTGCCTCCTGCTGGCGTTACTCTGAGCCACCTCTGTCAGGACTAGTGTGTGTGTGGTGTGTGTGGGCATCAGAATTTTCAGAAAACACAGCAAAGGTTTGGAGCATTATGGTAAGTGGATGGAAGGTACTGAAAATATTATTGGTAGAAACGGATTTAGTTGCTTTCTGTTTTTGTAACACTGTACACACGGATATACTTGAATTAGTGAATTGTTTTTAACTAATATAGGTGATTATACTGTTAATAAGTTGCAGTTCACAAAGGAGGACAACTTTAAAGGTTCATCTACTGTCGTGCATTTTTAACTGGTGCCAGCAGAGGTCGTACCAGGATGCAGAAACTGTAAAGAAGACCTCTGTCCTAAGAACACTCAGGTTTTCTAGAACAAATAGTATCATAAGTGTCAGAAGAATATTAACGTACTCCTTCCTTGAAGGCACATGCTGGTGTTGTGAACACAGACCTTCTCAGTAAGCATTTTCTTTCGTCTTTATGATGATGTTGCTCCCTTTCCTGGTGGAATTAATCACCAAATAAATTCTCCTAAGATTAAAAAAACACTTTAGATTGTTTAGGTACTATCACAAGAGACATCTTCTACATGAAAGTCTGGCTCTGGGTAGTGTCAACTGTCTGTCTTACCATTGTCTTGTTTCAGTTTATTGGATTTTCACCTTTTTGAGCTGATCATT